CCCGCCCGCCCCCTGGCCTTGGCTCAGCTTAGTACCCAGGTACCTCCTGTCTGAGCAGACCTCTCGGCTGGTCTGCGTGGCCACGGAAGCATCAGAGGCTGCTGCGTGGTGAAGGCGGGTCCCCAAGGCCCCGAGGCTGCCTGTCATGTTGGGGCCGGAGGGGGTGGCTGGACCTCCTGCTGCCCGCTCCTGCCGTCTCGCTGGGGACCCCAGGAGAGGCTGCCCTGTGTCCTAAGCACTCCTGGCCGTGGAGACACGCGGAATCCAGGCCAGTGCAGAGCCGGCCTGGTGGTGGAAGGCCAGGGAGGGCCAGTCTGTGCTTTGTCCACGGAGGCAGGGGTGTCCGCGGGCCCCCAGACCTCTGTGCCGTGGCCAGGGCTACCTCAGGGTTCAGGCTGTGGCCCATCTTCGCCCTCCTTCCTGGGTTCCCATTTCTGAGGGCAAGTGTTCCCTCTTGGTCTCCTGGGCAATGACTCCTCGTCAGAGGAGGGGACCCAGCAAAGGAGCAGAGGAGGTGGGAGCCCCAGGAACCACCTGTCTGGCCACTTGGCATGTTTCTGATGGAAAACAGCGTGGCTGCCCTGTCCTGTGTGCATCTGAAAGAGGGCACCTCACGGGCCCACCAGCACCTCAGAAAAACACTGGGGTGGGGGTTGGGGGTGGGGGGACAAGGACAGACCGGAGGCAGGACACGGCTGATCAGAGGCAGGGTGAGGTCAGAGACCCGGGTCCAAACCCCCTCTCTGCCATTTCTGAACTTTGGGACTTTGGAAAGGTGAGTCCACCCCTCAGTTTCTCCATCTGTAAAATGGGAGTGAGAAGCAATCCGAGCTGCCTCTGTCACAGGGTTGCCGTGAGGACCCGCTGAGGCCAGACTCAGGGATGCGCGGTCCAGGCCACGCTCCTGGGCCAGTGGTAGCTGCCCAGGTCTCAGGAGACGGAGGGAGGAGGCGTGAGAGAGCCCTGGCCGCCCCGGGCGCCCTGCTGCTGTGCCCGGGCTGGAGATTCCAGCGCATCTGACAGGCAGGGCCGGAGCCCGCCGAGGCCTCAACCTCCCCCTCTGCCCCTTATCTCCGACTCCCAACCTCTGGGCTAGGAGAGGGGTTGGCAAGAGTTGGGCTCGCGGCCACTGGTTTTTGTAAACAAAGTTTTACTGGAAACAGCGCTGTCATTAATTTACAGCCTCTCGGTTTTACTGCGCTTTGCTTTGCGTACTTCGCAGACACTGTGTTTTTTACAAACGGCAGGTTTGTGACAACTCTGGATTGAGCCGGTCTATCAGCGCCATTTTTTAAGCAACAAAGTATTTCTCAATTAAGGCCTGGACGTTCCTTGTAGACGTAATGCTATTGCACACAGACTCGGTAGAGTGCAAATGTGACTTCTGTGCGCACCGGGGAACCGACGCACAAGGCGTGGGACTCGCTTTATTGCGACATTCGCTCTATTGCGAGAATGTCTAGACGGGAGCGCACATCTCCAAGGTTTGCTGCACATCGGCCTTTGGCTGCTTTGGGCCATGACGGCAGGGCTGAGTGGCTGTGAGAGAGACTTGTAAAGCCAACTACTCCTCAGCTGGCCCTTTACAGGCAGCCATGCCCCCCTGAGCTGCTGGCGGGGGCGGGGCGGGGGCCCTTGGAGCCGCGTTCACCACTGCAGTCAGACCTCAGCTCTGCTCACGCCCTGAGCCTCCCTGGGAACCAAAGGACAACAGTTAGCCTGCCCCTGTGGGCTGAGAGTGAGAGAGAGAGTGTGAGAGAGAGAGAGAGAGAGAGAGAGAGAGAGAGAGAGAGAGAGAGAGAGAGAGAGAGAAGAGAGAGAGAGAGGAGAGAAAAAGAGAGAGAGCAAAAAGCAAAACGCTGGGGTCCTAGGGAGGGCAGCAGCCTTGCCAGGCTCCGGCCTGGAGTTGGGGCCACCCCCAGGGGCAGGCCCAGGCCTGGCGGTCATGTGGCCCGCAGC